AAACTAAATGGAAAATCCTACATAATATATATTAGCAAGCAAAACTGGAGAAATACATTTTAATTTTCATACAGATGAAAATCAAATTAATAACCATTTTTTAAAAATTTTCAACGTAGTTAGTACTGCAAATCAACAATTAGCTCAGTTTTATAATAATAATAAGACACAAAATGGCATTTTGCATTTTTCATTCCAGAAAGTAAATGAATTTATGATTTCAAAAATTATTTTACATATAAAAACACAAGCATGTGCCTCAGATGGAATTAATATCAAATTCTTACAATTAATGTGTCCCTTTCTGATTCCATACATAACACATATAATTAACTACTGTTTAATAAAATCAGTTTTTCCTGAATCATGGAAGGAAGGTCTTGTACTGCCAATCCCAAAAAAGCAACCAGTTAGAAAGTGTATCTGATTTACGTCCTATTACCATTCTACCAACTATTTCCAAAGTTTTAGAAAGAGTTGTCGGGCAACAAATTCGTGACCATTTAAACAAATATGACATACTTCCACACACACAATCAGGATTTAGACCAAGACATAGTTGCGGTACAGCATTATCTAATATCACAGATGACATCTTAAAACAACGAGATGAAGGTAATATCAGCAAGTACCAGGCAAAACTATTGCCATATATTCTGATAGCCAAGCAGCTCTAAAGGCAATTCTCTCACCAGAAATCAAATTACGACTAGTAAAAGACTATCTAAAAGACCTGGCAGAGCTAAATAGTCAAAACAAGGTAACCCTAGCCTGAGTACCAGGCCATGAGGGATATCAGAGCAACGAAAAGGCCGACGAATTAGCCTGAGATGGCTCAGATAAGGCTATAACAGGCCCCGAACCCTACAGTGGAGTTGCTAAGGCATTATGCAAGGCATCCATCAAACAATGAATACAAAAAGAGTCTCAAGAATGGTGGAACAACCATCGGCCAAGTTCACGAAAGACCTACTGGATCAAAAGTCGTTAGGATAACAGTAGGTCTTCTTACTAGACACTGTCGTTTTAACAGGCACATGAGTGTCATCAATCTAGCAGACAAAGCAGCTCTGTGCAGGTTCTGTGAAGAAGAAGAAGAAGAAAAAACATTCCACGTCCTGTGCCAATGTGAAGGCCTGGCTGGAATATGGTTTCTAACATTGGGAGAAGAAAAGCCATACACATGCAACTACATGCGGTAACCACTGTCAAAGCTACTAAATCTAATAAAAAAGACGAAGCTAGACGATATACTCTAAAACAAACGGGGTCCGACAATAAACATGAAAAGGTCGCAATGGACAAGGACAAACAACGTCCAACTCCTAATTTAATCTAATCTATAGTGTGATAATTCTTCAAATAATATAATTTTAATGAATTAACTCAATAACACTGAATCCTCACAATTGGATAAATGCTCCTGCTTTTGCTACACAAGTTTCAAATGCTTACAAATGTAAGCATTTATCCTCATATTGGCAACACTGACTAACATTGTAAAATTTTGTAGGGAAACCTTTATAACTTCTTTTAAAGAAATTTTAACGTGATCATTAAATAAAAGTTTACTTTAGTAAAATCCATTTTATGGTTTAATTATAAAATTAGCTCAAAAAAGGTGAATTCCACTGTCTCTAAGGCTGGATTTATAAACTTTGTTCAGTTCGCGTTCAGTTCACGCTCCAACATAAACAAAGTAGAATGTGCACTGTCATTTATAAAATTCGTTCGTTGACGTTCGCGCTCAGTTCGAATTCAGTTGACGCTGAGAGATGGTCAATTTTTATGTTTATTTTATAACCAACACCATCTACAAATAAAATTGAAACAAAATAACAACGAATATAATTTATTTCGTGGAATTTGTGGTTGTCTTGTCAAATCAAATGTCAAAATTGGCAAAGACGAACAAACGGCCAACTACTTTATAAATTAGGTCTAGCACGAACTCACCAACTCGAACTAAGCGTGAACGGAACGCCAATGGAACGCCAACTAAACGAAGTTTATAAATTCACTATTTTTTTATTTATTTGTGGCATTTTAATTAAGTTTAATCAACATAACTGTTCGTAGAAAGAAAAATGAAGTCGACATATTGCTATATAAAAAAACAAAGATATATCTATGTTCAATAATATTTGAAAAACTCATTGAAAAGGCTTTTTTCTACAAGCGTGCGGAAAATTCCACTTTTCCGCACTCATTTTAGTGTTGAAAGAGTCACTTTTCCGCACTAGTGCGGAAAAAACTTTTTTCCGCACTAGTAAATTTGTTAAGTTTTTGGGGAGTATACTGACATTTGAATATTTAAAATATATATTTGTATGGTTGTAGTTTACAAAATGACTGAAAAATTAAGAAATTTATTAGAATTCTGCTATAATTTTTAATAAAAAGAAACGTATGTTTCAATAATTTTTTAATTGCCCTAGTATAAACATCATCAAATGAATGTCAAATAATAATAAACATCATTTTTTATTTGTCACTTTAAATCACCGTAGCGACGAAGAAAAAATAAACCTGTCAGTCAAAACACTACCTAGTCAAAACCAATTTTTTCGTCGCATCTTTTTCTAGAAGATAATTTTTCATGGATTCTTTAGACGAAGATTTGTCAGAGTCAGTTTTGGAAGCGGATAGAACTGCAAACTTGGATCTACTACCATCAAAATCCCGTTATAGGTATGAGAAGGAATATATTTTGTTTGAAAACTGGTACCAGAATAACGGAATTAAAACTTTTATAGAAGACGTTTTATTGGCTTATTTCGCTGAAATTCCCAAAACATGCAAGCCAAACACTCTTTTGTTCAGGTACTTAATGTTAAAAAGTGTAATTAAACTCAAAAAAGACGTCGATTTAAAATTGCTCAATTTGTTTAGAAAGTATGTGAGTTTAATAAAGCCCACATAAGCGATTTTTCGTGAAATATAAGAAAGGAACTTGCACTGTACAATGTATCGGAATAAACACCTTCGGAAAAATGCCATCAGAGATTGCAAGTTATCTGAAGCTTCCAAATCCTGAATTATATACGGGCCACAGTTTCCGACGTTCCGCCGCCACAATGCTTGCAGATTCCGGAGAAGGAATAACAAATATTAAACGCCTCGGAGGTTAGAAATCTTCTATAGCGTCGCAGAAGGTTATGTAGAAAGCTCACCAAGTTTCCAAAAGGGCCAAGCGAATAAAATATTAAACTTCAATGATGCTGTCGCTGGCCCTTCCACTAGTCAGCAGCTGTCACCAATAAAGCCTTCCAAAATGACCTCTTTCAGCCAAGTTCTCATCGCCACGGTTGCAACAATTAGTGCTAACAAAGCAGTGGAAAACTGAAATCTGACTTCATTGGAAAACATTTTAGCCTCTGCAATTAATTTGCAGAATGATACGTTCAATATTAATATTAAAAAGAATTAATTTGTTGATATGTATTTAATAATAAATGTTTCTTTATGTTAACTTTTGGGTTTTTTCCGCATGCTGGTAGAAACAATAGTGTACCTAACACGTGCGTAAAGTGACTTTTCCGCACGCCATTGCTGGCGGAACTCAGCTAACGCATCGTTCGGCCATCTGCAATCGCGTGCGAAAAAGTATCACTTTCCGCACTTGTTAGGTAAACTTCTATATCCGATTACTACGTCAGTTGATTTAAAATTTATTATAGTTAATCAAACATTTTTTATATTAAATAATGTAAATTTACTAATAATTTATTGTATCTAAATAAGTTTTTGGTATTTAAATGTATTTCCGAGTTAAATTTGTAAAATGATGAATGAAAAAACCGGTTTACAACTTTTACAAATATCGATTTTCTTATTACGCGGTTGTTAGATTTTACATCTCGTATGAGAATGATTGCATTACTACTGTTAAGAACACCGTAAACTTGGCCACAATATTCAATCAGAAATTTTGTAAACAATCCTATCTGTCTTGGTTATATATCTTTGGTATTAACACCCCATTCCCAACAAAACGTAACATCTGGTACTGGTACAGAATAACAGTGCCCTCTAGATATATTATAGGTGTCTCTTGTAGATAAGGCTCAGATATTAAGCACGTTTTATGATTAGTTAACTTGTTTAGTGACTGAATTGTCTTTGTTTCCGTTCAATTCGGATCTAACATGATTGGTGTGAAAATTAAACTTAGTTATTTAGACTGTTCAAATTCTGCCGAGTATTGCTAGGTTTCCGAATACCAACAGAGATTTAACAATTGAACTTTCCAATTAATTAACTAGGTACGTACCGCAATTATCAATTGTTCGCTCGTTTGCGAGCGTCAGCTAGAAATAGTTTAAATCAATTTATATTATTGTTAAAGGCACAGTATTAATTAACAAAGTTTACAAACCGAATTCACAACTTATTAGTAAAACTCTTTCGATTGCCGCCGCGAATAGAAATTCGCCTATTCAGTGCTGACATGACGTGCTTATTTTACAAAACAAAACTTTATACTCCTTACTAGCTTCATTCTCTATATCTTGGGAAACTTCGAACTTTTGTCATCAATCGTTCAAATTTGTCTTTGTTCATACGAATGCCGAGTTCACTTTTAGTTTGGAATTTAAATGAAATCTTAACTTGGACTCGATCGACCTTTACGCTTTCGAGATTGTTACGTTGACAAACATCCGATTCAAAGTTTTTTTTATTTAAATTGAAATTTGTGGCAATAGCGTTTTTGTTCCATAAATAGCCGAAGCGCATTCCATTGAATTTCTTCTTGTGGCAAACCAAGCAGTCTTGTAAAATAAATAAAATAAAATAAGCAACTATAACACTAGATAACAAAATTTAACTTTTTGTCTGTTGCCGCGAATTCTGTGGTTGATAATGTTCACAATCTAACCTCAAAATTTTTTGAGCAGCTCAAGTTACTTTGTTTTTGATTTTTGTCATTTAAGCGTGTATATTAATCAATAACAGGCGTATTTTACTGTGTTAACATTAGTATCTGAAGTTTTTAAGTCATGAGTAGTTCAAGGAGACGTTGTTTGAACAATCCTGATCATTTTTGCTATGTATGCGGAGAATATGTGTTCAACTATTGTAGAAAAGTTATATCAGAGTTGGTGAAAAATAACTATTTTGAGTATTTTGAGATACTCTTGGATAAAAATGAGAAGTCTTGGGCTCCCAATTGTGTATGCAAATCGTGTGTGGAATATTTAAGATTATGGAAAAGTGGTAAAAGAAATGCCTTTAAATTTGAAACACCGACTATTTGGCGAGACCCACGAAATCATCTCGAAGACTGTTATTTTTGTATTGTAAACGTAAACGGTTTAAATACTAAAAATCGAGCTATATGGCAGTACTCAAGTACTGGTTCTGTTCAACGTCCAGTGCAGCGTTCACCTGACTCTTCAGTGCCTAAAAATATATGCGAACAAGACACTGAAGGACCAAGCTCATCACAAAATGATGCTGATTTTGAAGGTATGTCAAATAAGCCAAAATGCTTTTCCCAAAATGAGTTCGATGATCTTGTAAGAGATTTAAATCTTTCTAAACAAGCTTCAGAATTGTAAGCATCAAGACTAAAAGAAAAAAAAATTACTTTCGTCGGATACTAAAATAAGTTTCTATCGTGAAAGAGACAAAGAATTACGGCGGTATTTTTCCGAAGAAAACGGTATTACCTTTTGTTCAGATATTAAAAACATGTCAATGAAAATGGGCTTGGAACAATGCGAACCAAACGACTGGCGTTTATTCATTGACAGCTCAAAACGTAGCCTAAAATGTATTCTTTTACATAATAGAAATAAATACGCTGGGGTACCTATTGCCCACAGTACAAAGTTAAAGGAAGAATATTATAACATTTCGCTAGTCTTGAACAAAATAAAATACAGTGACTATAAATGGCAAATTTGTGTCGATTTAAAAATAGTGAACATTCTTCTCGGTCAACAAAGTGGTTACACTAAGTTTCCCTGTTTTATACTGATTAGATTTTTGGCAGAGTCGGAACAACTGGGGGGTACTTTATAGGTGGTCATTTTTATATTTTATGGAATATATCTGTTATTTACGTTTGGAGAAGAAAATTTTTTAAATAAAAGTTACTTACAATAATATTATCAATATTTTTTGTTCCATACAAAATTTTTCTAAAATTGTCCGTATTCAAGAAATTTGACAAAATGTAAAAAAATATTTTTTTATTAAAATTATTCAAATAAAAGTTGTTTGTAATATAATTCTCTATAATTTTTATTTTATATATAATTTTTCTAAAATGGACCGTATTCGAGATATTTGAGAAAATGTGTAAATTTCGAATTTTGAAGAAAACTCAAAAACGGAAAAAGGAAAAAACATTAAATTTTAAACTTAAGTTTTATTTCGGCCTGATGTGAATAATTGGATTTTGGACAAAGTCGGAACATCTGGGGGAGTACTTTATGGAAGGCCGTTTTTATATTTTATGGAATATATCTGTTATTTATGTTTGGAGAAGAAAATTGTTTAAATAAAAGTTACTTCTAATATTATTATCTGTAATTTTTGTCTTACGTCAAAAATGATTTTTCTAAAATGGACCATAATGAAAAAATTGGAGGAAAAGTGCTAAATTTAAATTTTTCAGTATTTTCGTTTTCAATGAATATCTATAGAAAAATGTTTCGAGTTAGATATATGTGGAAAATGTATATATTTAGTTTATCCTCTAAACTAAACTAGATAGGAAAGTCATGTGTTGGACACATCAGATTTTTAATTTAATAGTAATTACTGTATTTTTTATTTAGAGAAAAATAATGCATAGAAACTGCGAACTAATTTTCAGAAAAATATCTACAGGGGTATTAAATATATCGAAAAAAAATAAGTTTTTTTCCTATAACTTTATCACCCTGTAGTTTAAAATCTAAGAGGCGTAGGACATATGTTCATAGGAACTTTTTTGCTTCATTTGGTCCAAGGGACACGCCTCTGAATTTTTTCGCAATATTAAAAAAACACCCATATCAAAGAAAGCTTAAAAATATTATTAGTTAGGGTAGCTATAATCTATATAAAATAAAATAAAACAATAATAGTAACTGGCACTCGTCAGCATGATGGTAATAAAAAAAAGCAAATGGCCGATCTATCGGCTTTCCAACTAAATCCAGCAAAGTGTTCAAATATAAGTTGAAAGAAACATTACCTGACAATTATCCCAACGGTAACACAAAATAAGCACATATAAAAGACAAGATAATTACGGAAATTTCATAATAACCACAACTAAATTATTTTTCGGCACACACTACCACATTTAACTTTTTGAACTCGATAAACCAAAAGGCCGGTTAAATCAAGAGCAGTCGGTTTTATCTCAGCGTGGATGTCGAAAAAAACGCTAGGCACGTGCGCAAACCATACTTTGCAAATATCTAGAAGCGAGCAGTTGTCGTTTAAATTGTGTTACGAGGAGTTATGGAGAAGTTGTTAAAAATAAATTTGAAATTAATTTAAAATTAATTTCATGTAACAGGTACTCCACTCATAAGTATGCAAGAATCTAGTCTTATTCGCATAGGCTGACGCACATTTCAAAGATTCCTGAGGTGTTTCTTATGATTTAGTAGCATACATGATTTCGTATTTCTTCTTCGCTGCGTACACTAAGTAATCTAAACTATTGAGGTTGGAGATGTGATGTAAAAATTCACGCACTCGTAAGCTAAAATGTGAAGGGCGACCATCATTCATTAGCCCTAACCTGTTAACTGGGGCACGAACTAGGACGTGTCAGTACGTCACGCCCGCGCCCGGAGGACGTAATTTCATAATAATTTTTTTTTATGATTAAAATAAATGAAAATACTATGAAATATTTTATTTTTTCGTTTATTTATATCACAAAGGAAAACACAAAATTACGAATAGAAAAAAATACCAACAAAAAAATGGAAACATCGAATTAAAAACTCATAAATTTTACAAACATATAAATATTACAAAAAATATATTTTTTTTATTTAGATACACAATAAAAAATATAAGAAAGTTAACAATTGGAAGTTTCAGAAGCTAATCAGTTGTCATCGTTTTACTGAAAATTACTTGTTACAGTTTTTGTCAAAGTTTTTTCTTTAAACTATTCAAATTAAGATTTTTTTATATCTTCAAGAAAATTATATTGTATGACTTTTCAATATAAAAAAAGTTTTAAAGTTCTTATAATCATGCATCTGCATCAAGGACGTATTAATATGTCTTACCCGTACCCGATATAGAAACAAAAAGTTAACCTATCAATAAATCTAGGCTCTCTGGCCACGATATTCAGAGCAGAAGTTATTGCTGTAGAATTAGAAGTGAGAAGGGTTGATTAATTTTCTCCCCGCAAACAAGACTATAATGATCTTTTCGGGTAGCCAGGCAGCCCGCAAGGCCCTGAGCTCAAATCAAGTTGACTCATAGTTGGTTTGGAACTATATAAAAACCCTTGAGTGTCTAGATGTCCAGATCAAAGTTACTTTGGTCTGGGTTCCGTGACACAGCCGTGTGGAGGGCAATGAAAACCCCGCTAAAAGAGAAAACAAATCTAAGTTCATAGGACCAGAACCATTCCTGATCATTGCAAAGAGCACTGCCAAAGTAACTATCTCAAAATGGACAGAAGGTTCAACACTCACGAACTGGAGAGATACCTTAGGGCTAATTCATTCGAATGCGTCTCTTATCTCATACAGCACAAACACATTTCGGAAATATTTCAACAATGTTACATTGAAACATTTGCAATGTTATATAAATATTACGAAACATCCCAGAAATATTTCTGAAATATGCCTGAAACGTAAAAATGTCCTCTAAATATAATATTTCACAGTAATATTTCTGAAATGAAAATTGAAAATCTTTTAGAAATATTAAATAGTAATATTTTAGAAATGTATTCTAGTTTTTTTTCTAATATATTATTAAACTAAAAAAAGACATTTAAAAATATACATATTTATTTAAAATACACAAAACTCAAGCATTGATTCTTAAAAAAACAAATAAATAAATATGTTTTAAAGAATATTTCAGTGAATTGCTTCATTTCCATCAATTCCTTTAAATGCACTAATTTGAAACAACTAGGTTTTTTTTTTAATAAATGCTCCAAGTAAAGAAACAGTTACTAGTATTATAATCTAATCATTAATATCAATTAGCAATTTTATTTTTACCTAACTTATCTAGGGATGAAAAACTTCATAAATTTGGCTTTTACTCACTATACCGGGTGTCCCAGATTTTTTTGCCCAGCGGATATCTCGGTTATTTAATGATATAAAATTGTAAAAAAAAATATGAATAATATTTGTCTAGTAGCCTTTTAAATTCCACTACATAAAGTTATATTCATCAATCCACCCCATAGGAACAACCCCTAACTTTTTTTTTTCAAATGTCACCCCTATATTTTTTTTCGCTGATATAAATACTCAATTTGTCCCGAATACAACGATATGATTTTTGATATACTTTACAGAGTCATAAAGCCGGTAAAGACTAAAAACCAATGTTGTGGTTAAAGTCATTAATAATTAGTTTACATTTTATCATTTTATTATATTAAAAAATAACAAATCCAATGAATAGGTAAACCTCTTAATATGTTTTTTAAATAATTGAATATTTACAAAAATTGTTCGAAATGGCCCCCATTACTTGCCAAACATGCTTCAAAACGTCGAATGAGTTCACGAGTACATGACGCTGTAATCATTTCTGGTGTAATGTTATTGCAGGCTTGTACTATTTTATTTTGCAAATCTTCTAAATTCAATGGCTGTGTTTCAAATACCACGGTCTTCAGATATCCCCATAAAAAAAAATCTAGAGGCGATAAATCTGGTGAACGCGCAGGCCACCTCAAAGGGCCGCTGTTTCCGATCCACTGATTTTCAAAGCGTTCGTTTAAAAATTGGGTAACTAAATTACTATTATGTGGAGGAGCTCCATCTTGTTGCCACCACATAGCACCTCTTTCTTGTATTGGAATTTCTTCAAGAAGTTCTGGAAGGTCATTTTCAAGAAAGTGCAAGTACCTAGCACCAGTTAACGTACCTTGAAAAAAATAGGGACCTATCAATCGTCCCTGAAATAATCCACACCACACATTTACTCCCCAGATGGTCTGAAAGTTAGTTTCCCTAACCCAGTGAGGGTTTTCAGGAGACCAATAATGCATATTGTGACGATTTACAGTAGCATTATTGTGAAACCTTGATTCGTCACTCCACAATATCTGGTTCAAAATGTTGGGATTTCGTTCCATTAAATCTTCAAAATGTGCTATTAATGTTATCCTTCTTTCGAAATCTCCAGCTCTAAGTTCCTGATGCAAATGAATTTTAAACGGATGAAAATTATAGGATTTTAGGATTCTTTGTACTGACGACTTACTAATATGAACCTCGTTAGCTAGGTTTCGCGTCGATATCTGGGGATGTACTTGCACATAAGCTAATACATTAATGCACATTTCTTCAGTTCTTACAGCAGCAGCATGTTGACGATGTTTGTCTTTTCCTGG